CCTGCTTTACCGTCTGAATATGCATCTCCAAAAAGCATAGACTCATTTTATGTTTTCTTTTTCTTTTAACCTAAATGGAGCGATATGGAGCAGCTTCCTTTGTGTCTGATTCTGTGTCTGCGAGACCTGCCAGGATGTGCACGGCTGCAGTGTGTTGTGTGGGCCTTTCTGTCTTATTCCTCTGGACGTGTGTACCCAGATTCCTCACCTTCCTGTGTCAGTGGAGATCTGGGTTGTCCACTTGGAGCTGTTGTGGATGAGGCTTGAGAAGACTCCCACCGAGCCTTCCGGTGCTGGGGGCTCCCGGATCCAGCGGTGGGGCTGCTCGGAGGCCACCAGTGTCCTTGAAGGGGCTCCCACTGGCCAGTCTGGTATGGTTAGGGCACAAAAATCAATGAGAACTCTGGGTGATGACCCATCAGTAACGCAGGAATGTGTGAGTCCAGACTGATGGGAGGAGGGGAGAGAAGAGGCAAGAGCCTGCTGTCTGGTGGGTGTGCCTTGTGGACGTGGAAGATGACCGTCTGCAGGACTGGCGGGCAGCACCATTGTGGGTGGAGGCGCTGGGTCATCTGAGGCCAGGGTGGCGGATGTCACAGTGTCTTTCCCAGAAGTGCCCACGGCGGGAGGAGGGGCTTTGAGTGAACACACCTGGCGGGCGCCTCTGTCCAGGTGATCAGGGTGGGCAGTCGGCCTTGTGTGCAGTGTCATCCCCTTGCTGTCCTCCTCAAACATGGAAATGTCACCCTGGGGATGACACGCACACACACAAGGGACAGGGAAAGGCTTGGCCCGTCCAGTCCAAGGGCCTGGTGAGCACTGACCAGCCCATTGTTTGTCCCGGGGCCCCGAGCTCGCCTCTCCGTGACCGGCACTGACCCACATGGGCTGTGCCAGGGTCCCTTGCTGTGGGGGAAAACGTGGAGGTGGCGGCGCAGTTGGGCACGTGTACAGCGTTAGCAGTTAGGGGTCCAGGCGAAGGAGGCAGGGAGCCACCGTTCTGGGGGTTTCTTAGATACAGGCCAGCCCTCCCTCCCTGTGTGGGCGCCCTTGGCCGGGGCCGGTGCCTCTGTGTGAGAGCACGGTTCCCACTGCTGCTTCTCTCCTGAGCTTCACTCAGACACGGTGTCGAGAGGCTTCACGTTCTCTCTCTCCCACGTCACTGCCGCTTCAGGCCGAACAACTCCTGCTCCCCAGGGTCCAGGCACATCCTGCCAACACCAGCAGTTCTCCAGAGAGAGCTGGGGTCTGGATTAGGATCGGGTGCCCTGGGTCCACCTGGGGGGCATCCATCCACGCAGCACCGAGGTCTCCCAACGGTGCAGGTAGATGCCGGGCCCCGCGTGCCCTCCTGTCCCCTTCCACAGCTCCAGGACTGGCCCACTGTCCTGTCCCCTTCGTCCCCACTGGCCTATGCTGCTGCTTCTTCCCTTGTTTGTCTGGACCTCACCCCTTGGGAGGAGGATGGGAGGGCGGTTCTGTGAGGTGACCCTCACGTCGGCTCAGCTCCGGGGTTTCTTGGGGTCAGACTGGGGAGGTGGGCTTTTGGGAGGAAACCCTTCTCGTCCCCTTGTTGGGGGTCTGGGACATCTGTGGGGCTCATCCACCTGGGGAGTGTGTCCACGGTATCCCACCGGCAGGGACCGTTCCCTCTGCTTCCTAGGCTCCTAGGAAATGAGTCCTGAGGCCCAGCGAGGAGCATTTCTGGTGAGTGTTAGAGCCGTGCAGTGGACAGCGAGCCTCAGGGCTGCAGATACCCCATCCCTCCGTCCTCAGCGTCCGCCCAGGGGCTCTGCCCCCACAGCTGTGCCTGGGCTGGTCTCACGGGGAGGGTTTCTCCTTCTCCTTTTATAGCATTCTACTTTCACTGGAACTCTTCTGTTTAATGGGAATTCTCCCTGTGTATATATGTGTTCACTCATGGGTCTGGGCTCATGGAGATTTCTTTTATTCTTGGGTTAGAATTTCATTCTACCCACAACACACTGACATTTGTCCTCACCTGGGAGGGTCACGGCCCGTCTCCTCTTATTTTGGAAGCCAGGGCCGCGACCTGAAGCTGTGCGTGTGGGACCTGGCGGAGGGCAGGAACTCCGTCGTGGACTCCGTGCTCTTGGAGAGCGTCGGCTTCTGCAGGGGCTCTGTGCTGGCTGGGGGCCTGCAGCGCTGGATGCTGGCTGTGCCAGGGAGAGGCAATGATGAGGTGAGTGAGCCCATTCACCCTTGGCCCCTGGCTGCAGGA